CAACACATCATCTGTAGCTGAAGCATTAACCTAACAAAATGACACAAATACAGTCCATCCGATGTTCTTACAGACATTTATTCACCCAAACGCATTTATACCTTACAGATTGCATTGGTATAAAACAAATAAGATGATTACATGTGTTTTAAAGTTGACCTAACAATTTAATGTTCTCTTACTGCTTTATTTCGTCTTCATGAGTCTCCCCGCCGGTCTGCCAGCATACTGCGGGAGGAAAATACTGCTTAGCACAGCTTTACTAGGAAAGTGAGCAAGTAATATTAAAATAATTCATACAAGACGATGAAGAAAAGTGTATAGATGTGTTTTAACGTACCTCTGTGACTCTCATCTCCCCGCTGGTCTGCCTCGGAGGAAAAGACCGGTTCATACAGCTCCACTCGGGAAACTGAGAGATTCTTACAGAAACTTAAACCTGGCTTTATATCGCGCAAATAACATCAGCATACAACACATCAAACGATAAAAGAGTCAAAAATGAAAATTAACCTATTATACTCTTGTGGTTTTTCATCTTCACGAGTCTTTCACAGAGCCGCTGCCGAGGAGCAGATTTCTTTGACCCTGGCAACACGATTGCTGAAATATGATTGGATAAAAGCTCTAATATAAACATACACTGCTGGAAGCAGTGCAACAAAGAGAAAAGCTATGAAATGAAGAGAATAGACTATTGGAAATAATTTAATACACATTCATGGAAAAATATATTAAAACTAAATCAGTGATTCTGATAGTGTTTAGGCCAGCAGAGAAGGCTTTGCTGGCCCTGACGGCCCACCACTGGTTTTATGTATAGTATGTGTTATATACTATACATCAAATGGTTCATAAATATGTTTTATATAATTTATACTAATATATATATATATATATATATATATATATATATATATATAAATTATATAATTATTATAAATGTTTATTATTATTATAATTGATTCATTATAAATAAATTTTCTATACATACTGTATATAAACTGTTCATGCTTTAATATTTTATTTTTAAGTATTTTAAACATTTTAAAATGTAATATTTATATAATATATTTTATATACTATAATATTATCCAGCATATTATTTATAACTAATATTTGTCAAATATAATACATATAAATTGTTTATATTTTATAAACCTTTCATATAATTCACAATCTATATATCTAATCTATTTATTAATCAAATATTTTTATTTATAATTTTACAATACATGTTTTAAATAAACATACATCACATTTCTTCAATGCGGCAGATGGATGGCATACTTCGCTCATGCATGGCTTTGAAAACATAGCAGAACATGATAATAATTGACTGACGTGGTTATTTTAAACCATGTCAATACTGATCAATACTAGCATGGTCACCAATATATCATGCATGCCAAAAGCCAAACATGACAGTGTGGTGACATCAGTCTGACAGCTAAGCGTGTTTGTGGAGGGTTTCCCCATAAAAGCAAACAAAAAGGTCACCAGGTAATTAAGCTTGTTTTTGTGACCCGCCACCGTGCAGCAGATGGACTGAACTCTGCTGTCTGTGAGACTTACACACCGCACCTGAGATCAAAGACGCCACTGGATCCAGTGGAACACCAGCAGCTGAGACCAGCAGTCCACGTGCTCAGAGATTTAAAGAAATACTTCACCCAAAAGAGAAAAAGCTCTGCATTGACTCATCCTTGTATTGTTCTGAACCGCATGCCTGCCTCTCTACAGCAGTCCGTGGACCCCTAGTGGTCCTTGACATAAGGCTAGGGGGTCCGTATAAAGTATGAATTTTTGTATACATTTTGTATATTTTGACATGACATGTTCCCATGAAAGAATAATCCAATATAGCTGATGATATGGCCAAATACTGGACAAGTCAGCTAACTTGAATTATACTTGACTGCATTTGGTCCTCACGAAGACACAAATGATACATAGATGAGTCAATTTTGTTCTGGGGGTCCTTGAGGATGGTTCTGAATTGGACTGGGGTTCGGTACGCCAAAAGGTTGAGATTCACTGCTCTACAGCAACCAAAAATTGCATTTTTGAATAATATCTTGAAATGTCTTTAAACATATTGGCTGGCCTTTTTGATATAATGAAAGTGAATGGGGACTAGGGCTTTCAGGCTTCAAAAAGAAACATTATAAGATGTGCATACATAATTTATAATATCATATCACATCTTCTGTGAGGAACAGGCCCAATTTTGAGTCAACCCTTTTTTCACTTAAAGGGGTCATATGATGTTGCTAAAAAGAACATTATTTTGTGTATTTGGTGTAATGAAATGTGTTTATGCGGTTTAAAGTTAAAAAAACACATTATTTTCCACATACTGTACATTATTGTTTCTCCTCTATGCCCCGCCTTTCTGAAACGTGTCGATTTTTACAAAGCTCATCGTTCTGAAAAAGCGAGGTGAACATGACAGATCTTCTTTATGCACCAAGAGCTTGTAACACTCCAAAGAGAAAGGAAAAAATGAAATCGCATCATATGACCCCTTTAAAAAAGCTTTACAAAATTTCATTTTGATGTCCAAACATCACCTTTTCAAATGACCTTGACTTAAATTTCTTTGCTTCTCGAACGATATTTTTAAACGGTTTGAGGAGACTTGCAATGTAGTGTGTAATTAGTATGGACCGCTTTTATATTTAGTTTTATCTCTCAGCCCCCATTCACTTTCATTAACTATCGAAAACAGCAGCCAACATTCTTCACCTTTTAGGTTCCTCCGGGGAAAAAAGTGAGTCATACAGGTTTAGAATAATTCCTTTGAGGGAGTGTTTTATTGGAGCCGAGACAACATTGCAATGAAACGGTCAAAGGTAAAAATAGAGAATACCAGAGACTGTTATCTTCCTTCACAGTCTTTCTTGCTTTTCCCCCAAATAAAGCAGCTTCATGTACATCTAAAAAGCACTGCCTAGCAACACTGGGTAGCCAGGATCAGACCCATTCAACTGCCATGCTCTCCACAGCAAGACAAAACACCAGAAGCTGATCATATACATCTGATTCATATCGATCCGCTCGAGCTGAATGGTTTTTTTCATTGGTTTAAAAGAGTCGGTTCATTCGAATCGTTTGTTCGGGAATCGTGCGACAGTGATCTCGATGTGTGTTTTTGATTCGCTTTAAAGAACCAGTTCATAAAAATCATTTGGGATTCGCACGACATTGTTCTCGCAGTATGTGTTCGTGAGCCGGCTCATAAAAGCCTTTTGTTCGGGAATCGGGGTTTTGCTTTTGATTCACTATAAGGAACCGGTTCAGAAGAATCGTTCGTTCAGGAATCGAACTAACACTGAGAGTCAGTGAATATCAGTGCAGGACGGGCTCTCAAAAACCGAACGCCAGGAAAACCATTCGGTTCTGGTGTTTAAAACCAGGAGTCGGAAACGGTTCTCGGTTCTCAACCCTTTTTAGGAAAAACAAATCGATATAAATCTATACAGTAGCTACACACAGCAGTCATGACAACAATACGCGTAGTTTCCTGAAAACTGCTTTTAAACTGCACTAACATATAGTTGACTAACAAACAGCGGACTTTGAAAACATGAACAGTTCAATGGTTTGTTATTGAAATGTCATGTAAATGCGAGTAAATTCCTGCTTTAACACACAAGTTGCAAGCGACTTTGACTCTGAACTTCATAACAGGTCAACAGATATAAACAAGACCTATAACGACGGTTTCCAAGCAAATGCATGCAGACTGACAGCTGTAAAACTCACTTTTATGTTTTCCAGAGGTCCAAGACTGTTTAGCCAGACTGGGACTGCGAATGATCGCGCGCCCGGCGGATTTCAGCGCGTCCATTATGAATACAGTTTATTGTGATATTTAATAATCCTGAGAGCTCGATCCTCTGCCCGATCCTCTCCCCGCAGGAAAACTTTTCTGACAGCCTGTGATTTTCTTCCTTTTCCTCGGATGATCCTGGGTGGATGGCTGGATGCACGAACATGCTCGCCACGGCGGGCGGGGCTTAGTATGTAAATCAACCGGATAATGTTCCGTCACGACGCTGCCGTGAGTGGGCGGGGTTCAGTATGTAAATTAGCCAGATAATATTCAGTAGGCGGGGCTTCGCGTGTGTATATAAACAATATGCCTTTTGACTCGTGTGATTAAAACAAACACTAATTATTATTAATGGGAAAATATTTATTTTATAGCATTAAGACGATTTAAACCACGCATAATATGAATAATGGTAAAAATGAAATAACTGAATAAAACAATAAAACCGCATTACACAAGAGCATAAGAGAAAAACACAAATACTAATCAAGAATATTGCAGATATAAGATGTTATGTTTTTATATAGATCTAGTGTTAATGTATAAACCTTATTATTAATATTATTTGCATAACAAATAAATACAATTAATTTAATATTCTAGTAGCCAATTCTATTAGCTTCTGTCATCTAACAGTAAGGGATTTTACACTGTTTACAGAAAAAAAAAAACATGTTGTTTTTTTAAAAACATTAGCATTCTGATATAAGTAAATTGCACAGCTGCACTACTGACAAATTTAGAGAAAAAAAGAATTTAAGAGTGTGTTAATTATGTAGAAGCTGATGTGACTTTAAGGTGTGCTTCTACACTGACAGCCCATCACCACATGGGGAAAGAGATGGAAAAATGGAAATAAAGAAACTGAACGGTGAAAGGATAAGACATTCAAGAGTGTTTCTCTGAGAAAGAGGTCATTTTGCTTGTCATTGGGTCTTTTGTCAACTCAGGGTGGCATCTTACAACCTCAATGCACGACTCAGAGAGCAAATAGAGACCGGGGCATCGGGTTCTTCTGACCCCTACCGTGACCCACCAAAACCTGTTTAGTTTCATGTGAAGATGAACAATAAATAGAATTGACCAGGGTCTCGCAGCAGAACAACAGGTGAGTCACTCAGTTCAGGTGATTAACACAAAGAAGAATCCAGATCTTCAGCATTCTTGAGTGACTATGACAGATTCATTCAGATTATTGCAGAAACTAATGTACCTGTTAAAGCAGGCAGTCAGATGAGGTTCATTAGGGAGGCTGAATGTGAAACAAGTCATTCACTCTCCCAGTTCATCCTATATTACTGGAACTGGAAGCTTGAGAAACGTGGTTGACATACTAAATGGCTCCTGTACATTATTAATGCGTCCATATGCTGATTAGAGCAACAGTCTGCAGCTCATATGAGAATATAACAGCTTTAACTGGTGAATACATAGATATAGGCTATACAAACAGTTCTGGAACCGCATAAGAGTGAACTAATACTATCCACCTTATTTTTAAAGCAAGATTGGGCATGGCCATTTTAACTTGAATGTGCGAGGCTTCCACTTCCAGTTACTTTACCTATACAAAATCAGCCCGTTATGGCAATTTTAAAACTATCATTATCATACATACAGTTTTACGGTTCACTGCACTTATGTTATTCTTCTGTAACGCACATTCACACAAAATAGCTTATTTCCACGTTGAAAATAATGTGGTTGTGGCATCTTCAAGTAAAAATTGAACAGTGGAGCCCATTAATGTGAAAGTGTGTCCTTGAGTCAAGAGTTTTTACATGCACATCATGCCAGTGATGCACTGAAGAAAGATCGAGTGTGGAACTGTGAGCCTGTCTGCATGGTTATAAAAAAGAGATGCGTTTAATATGAATGCACTGGTTATTTATTCATGCACGTAATAACCTCTTATGAATGAGAGATGAAGGCATCACACTTAGCGCTCAGAGAATCTGTCAGCACGAGATGCTGCAATAGTTTACAAACTAGCAACTGCTACCTGCAAAAACCTATGAAACATCTTTTTAAATATATATATATATTTTAAAGAGCCACTGAGAATATATATTTCTGTCAGACTCCTTTTGTATACTGTACAAATATCTCATTGGATTATTGCAATTAATGGCTAAATTAATGTTTGTAAACTGATAATTCCTGCACACTACAGCAAAAGACAGAAATGACTGGCTTACATTTTTTGTTGTTGAAAATACTAAAGGCTTTTGACTTTTGCATAGTACTGTGTATATATATATAATAAAAAGAGACTAGGTTTTTGTGTTAATTTTGCAGAAGCTGGTGTGATGTTAAGGTGTTTCTGATTAGATCATGATCAAAATCTTCCATAAAATAAAGTTTAATTGGATGAAAAATGCCTATTTGTTCCATTTAAAATTAACATTAACTATTTAGAAATAACATATAAAAGCAAAAATGAGATCTAAAAGCATAATGTTTATTTCTTGTCTATATATCACTGACATGTTGATATGTACTCCTGCCATTTCTGTCAATGAAAATCTGTCCAGAGAAATCCAATAAACAAATACTGTTTACCTACTCTTAGTGGAAATGTATTCAGAACTTTGTACTGGTTTCATTGTTATTCTTCATCATAAATTAACCCTTCGCTCAGCCCAAAATAAACCGTAATAATTAGGTTAGTTCGGTTTTATCATTTGCATTTAGCAATGTTTTTCCTTGCTGTCAAAACACTATGTATTGTGACCCACCTATAATTTTGCACGCAAGCATTTAGAAAGCACAACAACCAATGGACAAACCACAAAAGAATTTTAAATGCCAGAAAAAAAAACGAAAAAAAAATGTTTTATTACTTGAAACCTCACAGAGACCTCACAGAGAGTGCAGCCGAGGTCTGGCCGAAAAACAGACAGAAAGCTAGAAGTGACAGCGGGCAAAGAAAACAAAATAACTGTCGCCCCCCTCCCCTCTCTCATTTAAACCACTTGGACTTTGCAAACTTTCCCACTACCTCCATCACATCACAGTTTTAAAAAAACACAGACACCAAAAACAACAACCATCTCAGAGCACTTCAATACCACATAGGACTGACTCTGGCTAAACCCCTTCCGCCCATCATTCACCAATGGAATACTAACACAGTAACCATCTCCCGTTCTGAAACTAACCGCACCGGAACTCGTTTGAAGCAACGGACTTCCTCTGGTTGGCAAAATCTATTCGCTTAAACACAAATCTGAGGGTTTTTCCAAAAAATTGGGTCAGCTCGGGACGTTCTCCATTTAGCCCGGTAATACTTCATGCTTAGCAGACGTCTGGATCTGTATTCATTTACACAGCGAGTGTGATGATGGTCAGATGAAAACCTTTCCAAGAGTCTAACGGGTTTAAAGTAGCAACACTTTCTGAACACAACGGCGCCATCAAGTGGGACAACCAAGTATTTCTCAGAAAACAAGACACAAACTATATAATAATAGCAATAATACTCTCCTCTAGCTTCTGATCATTGGACCAGCCAGTAACCGAACACACTTCTTTTTCAACAAATTTACAGTTTTAGTTGGCACTGGACTAGACTAGCTTCTGTCTGATACTGAAAGATGGTCAATACAATAAAGAAAACAAGGAGAGGAAAGTATCCTGTGTTTTCATACTTAAGATATTCCCTTGCGAGCTCGTCAACAGTGCAATAGTGCAACGCCGGATAAATAAATAATAATGTAAACAAATGACCGAATTCACAAGCGCGGACCAAAACAGGAGCAGAGTCATCACGCCAATGGGCTGGTGATCCGTTTGCCGTATGTGACCAAAAAGGATGTGGTTGAGACATGACGTGGCGAAGGGAGGGAGAAGATCTTTCGGTTCCACTAATGAGGTCCCATATGAAGGCACTGATTATCTGTAACTGGTGAATTACGCTGCTGGACTGTGTTTGTGGCACACAGGTTTGTCTTTTTGTACCAGGAGGAAGAACAGCAATCCCCAGATGAAGCTTCGGTCCGTCAAACGAGTCCTTAAAGATCGGGAGTCGTCCGATCCTGACATACTGATCCAAGTGAGATAATTTTGTCGCATTGTTTCTGGGTCGTTTTGTTTTTTTGCGTTACATTCTTGTCATATTAGAAGGTGACATTCTTGAGTAAAAATCTTCTTCTGATATGGGGTAGAGCACCTGGGACAACGGATCTCCCACTTGCCCTGCTTTGCATCCCCCCGAAAATAAAAAAAACAGTAAAATCAAGGCCGAAATCCAAAGAAGAGGAACTAAAATGGATGCGAGCGGTCTCTGAATGGACTGAGGGAAGATACTCACCAACTTCTGTGAGGTTTCTAGACATTTACATGAGAAAAGAAACTGCAGTTTCCTACTCCACGTGTGACGTCCCTTAAAAGTCCTCTTTTTTTGTCTTTTGTTTTTTTTACTACAACAAATACAGTCACACAATACAACATCCTTCTGACCAGGCAAGTAGCTGTAGTAATAGAAGACGAAAAAACGAAAACAAAAAAGCAATCTGAGCCACAGACATACCAAAGATGAATCTGAATCTGGGCCTAAAAAAACAACAACCAGAGCTAACGGGTTTAAAGTAGCAACACTTTCTGAACACAACGGCGCCATCAAGTGGGACAACCAAGTATTTCTCAGAAAACAAGACACAAACTATATAATAATAGCAATAATACTCTCCTCTAGCTTCTGATCATTGGACCAGCCAGTAACCGAACACACTTCTTTTTCAACAAATTTACAGTTTTAGTTGGCACTGGACTAGACTAGCTTCTGTCTGATACTGAAAGATGGTCAATACAATAAAGAAAACAAGGAGAGGAAAGTATCCTGTGTTTTCATACTTAAGATATTCCCTTGCGAGCTCGTCAACAGTGCAATAGTGCAACGCCGGATAAATAAATAATAATGTAAACAAATGACCGAATTCACAAGCGCGGACCAAAACAGGAGCAGAGTCATCACGCCAATGGGCTGGTGATCCGTTTGCCGTATGTGACCAAAAAGGATGTGGTTGAGACATGACGTGGCGAAGGGAGGGAGAAGATCTTTCGGTTCCACTAATGAGGTCCCATATGAAGGCACTGATTATCTGTAACTGGTGAATTACGCTGCTGGACTGTGTTTGTGGCACACAGGTTTGTCTTTTTGTACCAGGAGGAAGAACAGCAATCCCCAGATGAAGCTTCGGTCCGTCAAACGAGTCCTTAAAGATCGGGAGTCGTCCGATCCTGACATACTGATCCAAGTGAGATAATTTTGTCGCATTGTTTCTGGGTCGTTTTGTTTTTTTGCGTTACATTCTTGTCATATTAGAAGGTGACATTCTTGAGTAAAAATCTTCTTCTGATATGGGGTAGAGCACCTGGGACAACGGATCTCCCACTTGCCCTGCTTTGCATCCCCCCGAAAATAAAAAAAACTGTAAAATCAAGGCCGAAATCCAAAGAAGAGGAACTAAAATGGATGCGAGCGGTCTCTGAATGGACTGAGGGAAGATACTCACCAACTTCTGTGAGGTTTCTAGACATTTACAAGAGAAAAGAAACTGCGGTTTCCTACTCCACGTGTGACGTCCCTTAAAAGTCCTCTTTTTTTGTCTTTTGTTTTTTTTACTACAACAAATACAGTCACACAATACAACATCCTTCTGACCAGGCAAGTAGCTGTAGTAATAGAAGGCGAAAAAACGAAAACAAAAAAGCAATCTGAGCCACAGACATGCCAAAGATGAATCTGAATCTGGGCCTAAAAAAACAACAACCAGAGAAGACCATGTGTATGTGTGTGTGTCTGTGTATGCAAGAATGAGTGTAGGTCTGTTGTGGTGGGAAACAAGCATTCATTTTTTCAGGGGCTGGTAAACAGATGCATTGGGGTCCAGTCCTGACGGACTGGTGTCCATGAACTTGGAGGAGTAATGGGGTGTGACTGGGGTCATGCTGCCCGTATCTGCGGAATACACCACGCTGGGCATGACGGCCATGACCTCTGCTATCTTCTGCTTCAGGTCTTTAATCTCCTGGTCTTTCTGCAAAATTTGACCTAAAAAAAAAACATATCCAGACAGAAACAACTAAGTGTTTTTCCACGTTTGGGGATGTTTTTAGTAAAGACATAAATTACTGTTTAAAAGTTTGTGGTCGATTTTTTTAAGAGTTTAAAAGCAGGTCTCTTCCACTCAAAAAACATTAATATTATAGAATTGTATTAGTATTTAAAATAACTATTGTCTATTTGAATACATTTTAAAATTTAATTTATTCCTGTGATGGTAAAGCTGAATTTTCAGCATCATTACTGCAGTCTTCAGTGTCATATAATCCTTTAGAAATCATTCTAATATGCTGATCTGCTGCTCAAGAAACATTTCTTGTTATTATCAATGTTAAAAACAGTTGTGCTGCTTCATATTTTTGAAAAATTTTTGAGGATTCTTTGATGAATAGAATGTTCAAATAACTGTTGTCATTGTCACTTTTGATCTATTTAATATGTCTGGTGAATTAAAGTATTCATTTTATTTTTATTTTATTAAGTAAAAAAACAATTAGAGACCCTAAACTTTTGAGTTTGATCTTCTGTAATGTAGTTCCCTCAAAAATTAAGATTCCCTCAAGCAATTCCAGAAAATAAGTTAGGTCTAAATGACAGCATTTTTATTTTTAACTATGTTTTTCAGATACTTAAGAAGTGTGGGTAGTCTGGACAAAAGAGTGTGATGGAAGACCTTGTGCGATCTCCAGCTGTCTCTTAGCATCTCCGAGGGCAGAGAAGAGGTCCAGCTTGATTCGGGTCTCAGCACTGAGGCTGTTTTCCAGGTGCAGGGTCTTATCCTGCATCGCTGACAGCGCTGACATCAGAACTTCTGTGTCCTTCTCATTTTCCTTATATTTATGTAGCTCCTAGAAAGACATGACAGAAGGAGTAGTCTATTTTTATACTTTTTCTCCACTTACAGAAGAATCAGAAGATTTTGAAAGAGATTCAGAGCTAATATGGCAATGAAAGTCTCCTCACTTGAACTTTGAGTTCCAGCTCTCTGACTTGATCTTCTTTCACCTTGATGTCAAGCGTGAGTTTCTTACACTCCGTCTCCAGCTCAGAAATCCTCCTCCTCAGAGACTCTGTGCACTCACCTCTGACACACACAAATGACACACGTTAGTTCACATACAAAAAGTGTTAAATATCCTGCAGTTGTATGGAAAGAAAATAGACTGAACAGATCTCATGAAAGTGAAGATATAACTGACAAAGGAAAAAAAAGAATCATGTGAGAAACGGACAGAATGGATGATGAAGGCAAAGCTATAAAAAAGCAGTCATTTTTAGAAAATTAAAAAGAATGGAGTGGCAGAAAATATTACAAAATAGTATGACTTTTATACTTTTTCTCCACTTACAGAAGAATCAGAAGATTTTGAAAGAGATTCAGAGCTAATATGGCAATGAAAGTCTCCTCACTTGAACTTTGAGTTCCAGCTCTCTGACTTGATCTTCTTTCACCTTGATGTCAAGCGTGAGTTTCTTACACTCCGTCTCCAGCTCAGAAATCCTCCTCCTCAGAGACTCTGTGCACTCACCTCTGACACACACAAATGACACACGTTAGTTCACATACAAAAAGTGTTAAATATCCTGCAGTTGTATGGAAAGAAAATAGACTGAACAGATCTCATGAAAGTGAAGATATAACTGACAAAGGAAAAAAAGAATCATGTGAGAAACGGACAGAATGGATGATGAAGGCAAAGCTATAAAAAAGCAGTCATTTTTAGAAAATTAAAAAGAATGGAGTGGCAGAAAATATTACAAAATAGTATGACATAAGCTTCTGTTCAAAAGTTTGTGGTCAGTAAGATTTTTTTCCAGAAGTAATTACTTTTATTTAGCAAGGACACATTAAATTAATTTAAAGTGACAATAAAGACATTTATAATGTTATAAAAGATTTCTATTTCAAACAAATGCTGTTCTTTCAAACTTTATAATCAAAGACTGGAGTAATGGCTGCTGAAAATTCAGCTTTGCACTACAGGAATAAATTACATTTTAAAATATAAAAAAAATTAAATAAAACCGTTTTTAGTAAAGACATAAATTACTGTTTAAAAGTTTGTGGTCGATTTTTTTAAGAGTTTAAAAGCAGGTCTCTTCCACTCAAAAAACATTAATATTATAGAATTGTATTAGTATTTAAAATAACTATTGTCTATTTGAATACATTTTAAAATTTAATTTATTCCTGTGATGGTAAAGCTGAATTTTCAGCATCATTACTGCAGTCTTCAGTGTCATATAATCCTTTAGAAATCATTCTAATATGCTGATCTGCTGCTCAAGAAACATTTCTTGTTATTATCAATGTTAAAAACAGTTGTGCTGCTTCATATTTTTGAAAAATTTTTGAGGATTCTTTGATGAATAGAATGTTCAAATAACTGTTGTCATTGTCACTTTTGATCTATTTAATATGTCTGGTGAATTAAAGTATTCATTTTATTTTTATTTTATTAAGTAAAAAAACAATTAGAGACCCTAAACTTTTGAGTTTGATCTTCTGTAATGTAGTTCCCTCAAAAATTAAGATTCCCTCAAGCAATTCCAGAAAATAAGTTAGGTCTAAATGACAGCATTTTTATTTTTAACTATGTTTTTCAGATACTTAAGAAGTGTGGGTAGTCTGGACAAAAGAGTGTGATGGAAGACCTTGTGCGATCTCCAGCTGTCTCTTAGCATCTCCGAGGGCAGAGAAGAGGTCCAGCTTGATTCGGGTCTCAGCACTGAGGCTGTTTTCCAGGTGCAGGGTCTTATCCTGCATCGCTGACAGCGCTGACATCAGAACTTCTGTGTCCTTCTCATTTTCCTTATATTTATGTAGCTCCTAGAAAGACATGACAGAAGGAGTAGTCTATTTTTATACTTTTTCTCCACTTACAGAAGAATCAGAAGATTTTGAAAGAGATTCAGAGCTAATATGGCAATGAAAGTCTCCTCACTTGAACTTTGAGTTCCAGCTCTCTGACTTGATCTTCTTTCACCTTGATGTCAAGCGTGAGTTTCTTACACTCCGTCTCCAGCTCAGAAATCCTCCTCCTCAGAGACTCTGTGCACTCACCTCTGACACACACAAATGACACACGTTAGTTCACATACAAAAAGTGTTAAATATCCTGCAGTTGTATGGAAAGAAAATAGACTGAACAGATCTCATGAAAGTGAAGATATAACTGACAAAGGAAAAAAAAGAATCATGTGAGAAACGGACAGAATGGATGATGAAGGCAAAGCTATAAAAAAGCAGTCATTTTTAGAAAATTAAAAAGAATGGAGTGGCAGAAAATATTACAAAATAGTATGACAAGCTTCTGTTCAAAAGTTTGTGGTCAGTAAGATTTTTTTCCAGAAGTAATTACTTTTATTTAGCAAGGACACATTAAATTAATTTAAAGTGACAATAAAGACATTTATAATGTTATAAAAGATTTCTATTTCAAACAAATGCTGTTCTTTCAAACTTTATAATCAAAGACTGGAGTAATGGCTGCTGAAAATTCAGCTTTGCACTACAGGAATAAATTACATTTTAAAATATAAAAAAAATTAAATAAAACCGTTATTTCAAATTGTAATAATATTTCACAATATTACTGTTTTTACTGCATTTTTAATCAAATAAATTCAGCCTTGGTTAGCATGAAAGACTTCTTTCAAAAACACTGAGAAATCTTACTGATCTCAAACTTTTGAAAGGTAGTGTATATTATGTATATCATTCCATTCTACCAGGATTCTTTGATAAACAGACATTTTTGAAGAACAGCATTTATTTGAAATATATATTTTTTGAAATAATGAAAGTCTACACTGTCACTTTTGATTCATTTAATGAATCCATGCTGACTTTGAAAAAGTATTTAAAAAATTTAGGGAAAAAAAAACACTTTTGAATGGCATAATGAAACGGAAAGGAAGAGAATGGAATGCACAACATATAATAGAATGGATGTTAGGAAATGAAATACAATGGAATGATGGGAAGGTGAGTCATGAGCACCTGGTTGCCGCAGCGAGAGCGACTGCACGGGCTGCTGTGGCCTCCTCCAGCTTCTTGCGTTTCTTTTCCTCTGCTAACTGTTTCTCTGTCGCAGCACGAGCCTCCTGTTCTGCCTTCAGACGCTTCTCCAGCTGCACCACTGTCTGCTTGTCCTTCTGCTTCGCCTGCACGGCGTTATGAAGTCTGAAAACACAAACAAGAGTTTGCATTACTACAAGTACAGTCCCCTGTCTGCTCTGCGCTCTCTTAAAGAGCAAACTGAAGACGGGATGTCTCACTTGTTTTGCAGTAGTTCATTCTCCTGCCGCAGCTGTCCGAGCTCAGAGCGTATGCTGCGTTCAGAGCTGCCTAGAGAGCCCAGCTGACTGCGCAGATCCTGTTCTGTCTGTCTGCTAGCCTGCAGGTCTGCCTTCAGCTTCTTAACATCCTGCTCCAGCCTAAAACATGCAAACATTCACTTCGGGTCATAATGAGTCATGATAAACGTGAATCAGGAAAAAGGACTGCACTTCCTAAAACAGTACCTATCTAGACAGCATTTCTGGGGGCATCTAAACTTGCTCAAGGCATGATATAAACACCAATGTTGCACAAAAATGCTGTCTAAGCAGAAAGTAGATGATATATTTTTTGAGGTAATTGGTGGTTTCGCCCAGATTTTAGGTATTTGGCAGTCTGCAACTTCTGTTGTACAATTGTTAATGTTTTGAGTACCACCATATAATTTAATGTATAGGTATCTGAAGAAGAACTAACCCCATATCTGAATAGGTCTATTTCCTACTATATAGTAAGTGAAAAATAGTATACAAAAAGAGAAGCAAGCCTAAATACAGTTTTTGAAAAACAGTAAGACCCGGATGACATAATATTTCTATCAAGATTTTAAAGTGTACAGTCTGATGGGCACTTTACTATCCCATGAGGCTACAGGTGGAGAAGTTGTGAATGGTGGGAAAGTGCCTCATGGTCATGACAACACAGATATTATGTCCAGATTGCATCCATACTACACAAATACCTTTTTAAGTTCTTCATAAAATGTAGTACCTATTCTGGCAATTCTACAAAATTTCAAACGCAGCTTGTTACCCTAAAGGTACGGTCACAGTTATATTTCTGTGAAATGATGTGGGCATCGTCAATTACATTCCAAACAGCTTTCTGCTGGTCAGTGCAGCAAATTCACATGACCAACTTGAAACTGATGCGAAATCCATGTGGGGAAATCTTACGCCGTCAAGCGAAATCCCAGATTGCAACTGAAATGACTCTCGACCATGAAAATTCGCAGAACAGCAAATGGACAACAATTTAAATAAAAAATGCAGTTTAAAGTTCAGAGTCAACGTGAACTCAACAAGAACAGATTTCTTTTTCACTCGGTTCACTTTTGGGTAAACTGAAAAAAGTCAAAGTGTGTTTCTTAATGCTTTATATCTGCACTGTTGTTTACTTCACTGGTTTGCACTCTATCTGCCATGTGCCTTATGCTGCTTTATATATATTTTTTTTTTACATTTTACCTTATTTGAATAGTTGTATTTTATATTTAATCTGTATATCTGTATTTACGTTCTACTGTTAGTGTTATCTGTATGCACCAAGGGTCTGAGAGTAACGCAATTTCAATTCTCTGTGTGTATGTGCTGTACATGTGGAAGAATTGACAATAAAGCAGACTTGACTTTCTATTGAGTGTCAGGAAAAAGTTTACAAAAAATGACTGTTTTCTTTTATGTGTAGTGTTTTCGCACACCCTTTTGAACATTAGAGCTGTCGTTTTAACATGAAGCCCAGATTTTGAGAAAGATGATGCATGCAAGTCTAACCTGACGAGCGCTTCGGGTTTGCTCAGCTGATTGTTGGGAATGCAGTTTTCCACAGGGTCTCTGTTTGACGCCGAGTTCTTCCCTCCTCCACACTTCTGTTTCCTGTCCCCCTTACCCGAGGAAGAGGTGGACGACGAAGGCCCGGAGGAAGACGGCACGCTGCCATTGGCCGTTCCGTGCCCCCGGGGCGAGGAGCTCCCTCCCCCTCCTCCTCCGCTGGCATTTTTGTAATTTTTGTTGGAGTTAGAGGAGGAGGAAGAGGAGGAGGATGAAGAGTGTTCCTCTTTCAGCAGGTTCTCAGTGCTGCCCAGCAGGTCTGAGCTGCTCAGTCTCTTACTGTTCACGTGGTTCTCCATGTATTCCATCTCCTGAGCTTTACTGTCCACTGACAGTAAGATGCTGCTGCTGGTGCTGCTGTGATGGTTCTGGTTGTGGTTGTGTTGCTTTTTGGATGCTGTTATTTTGGTGTTGCTAATAATTTCCACTCTGTTCTTATCAAATTTGTGTTTGAAATGAATTGAGTTTTGTGAGAAGAACTGTTGAGGAAAAAATAATAGAACCAAATGGTGAAGTTGGACATTCTGGCGGTGATTGTAAGAATGAAAAATGCATGTTGATGTCATATAATAATGTCTTGAATAAAATATGCCTATTTTCCGATGTTTCTCTTTATTTTTGGCATTATCGCCTGTGTAGACACATTTCATGATGGTAAATTTGATTTCCTTAATTATAACAATTGCAGCGTTGTTTTTAAACTTGTAGTCAAGCTATAACGTATTTGATATAATATTGATCATGTATGACTAAAATCATGCAGGGATTAAAAACGAATTCTGAGCAAAAACGTTAAGGTTTTTTTTTTCCTTTCTGGTAGCCTACTAGTTTGGACTACTTTTTGTCTCTTTTGGCCCCTTTTTAACAAAATAAAAATAACTGCTTTATTTATTTAGAAGCAGGGTAATTGAAATTTCATTTTTGTATTGTAATTTTTATAATTTTTATTTTATTAATCAAAATACAACAGCCACAATATAACATTCAGTGTTGGGCTGCCGAAACTCAGAATGCGTGCATGTTGAGGGGCGAGCTGAGAAACTTACTAATGTACACCCTTGTTTTCTTTCTCAACTCTTTACGTTCACTTAAGACAACTCCCGATTGTATTTATGGGATATTTTGATATAATTCTGTGTGTATTTGTCCATTCGAATGTGTAAGCATGCGAGAAAGAGAGCTCAGTCCAGTGTTATAATAAGCGTATATAAGAGGCGGCTTTTGTGTGTGTGTGTGTGTGTGTAAGAGAGAGAGAGTGAGTGAGTGTGTGTGTGTGTGTGTATAGAAAACAGCGCACGAGTGCAGAAGTGAGTTCTATTTCGTCTTCTTGCAGTTGAATCTTTTGAAATCACAATAAATGCGC